ATCTTTGGCATTTAAGAGTGATTAACATCACAGGGCTTCAGAGCGCCCCACCTTGGGAAGCAGGTTATCAAGTCACCTTTCTGAAGCTCACAAGACTACTTAGGACATTAGTAACCATTTCCATATTTCTGGAAGGAATTTATAACTATTTTCTATTTATTAAAATGGTAGCATTCTGGGAAACAGTACTTTTAGCTTTCCACTTGAATGTGGCATTATTTAATACAACGCAGTATCACGAAGGGCAGAGGTTAACAGGTTGTTACTCTGATTCTCTAGTTGAATTGTCTGTGAAATAGCAGACCTGTTGACCTTTCAGGTTTTGGAAGAGTGTTAGCTTCCTGTCACTGTAAAAAGATACCTAAGATAATTAACTTGCAAGAGAAAGTGTTGATTTACCTCTCATTTCTGGAGCTTTGAGTCCAAATCAGGTGGACCTGATGCTTTAGACCTGGTTTTGGTTTCTGGATGGCAGTGGTGGGAAACACATCACCTCATGATCCGGGAAGCAAGAAGGAAGAGGAAGAGTCTGGTGTGCCTAATCCTTTCAGGGATGTGTCCGAGTGACCTGAGGACATCCAACGGGCCCTACCTCAAGTTTCTACTACCTCCCAATAGGACTACCCTAGAAACCTACCCCTGAACACGTGGACCTTCAGTGTCCAAAGTATCACAGGAAGGGATTAATAAATTCGTCCATAGTGTGTCTTTAGAGCCCTTGTTACTAATGCAAGAGAACGTAAGTGTAGCTGCTGCTCTCATCCCTAGAATTAATTACTGTGAGGCAGCCACGTAGGGTGGAGAGAATCTCACACTTCTGGGGAAAACACTTGGGTTTCAGCTCAAACTCTAGGTCTGGGCAATGTCTGGATAATATAATACATGCCAGTGCCCTTGGAGGCCCAAACTGGCAAACATGTAACAGGGCAAAGCCATGTAACAGGGAAGCTGTGAGAATCAAGATAATGTACTATGAAATTAGCTTGTTGTAGGAAATCTTTTCGAGTTAGCATTACACTCTGGGTTTTTTTTTTTTTTTTTTTTTTTTGGTTAGTTCCCTTGTTTTATTCCTTGGCTCTGTTTTGCGGGGTTCTTCAGAGAAACAGAACCAACATATTTTACATGCATTTATGTGAACTACACTGTAAACTGTATAAAGTTATATATACATGTTTATACACACATACAAGGAGATTCATTATGGGAATTGGCTCTCACAATTAGGGACACCAAGAAGCTCCACAATCTGCCACATGCAAGCTGAATCAGCCACTCTGGGTAACAGAACAGAAAGCTAAACTGCTTTCCTTTGCGATCCCGCTTCCAGTTTGGAGCCAGTCACAATCACTGCAAAGAAGGCTCCATGCAGGTTTTTTTTTTTTTTTTGGTACTGGGGATTGAACTTGGGACCGTGCGCTTGCAAGGCAAGCAGCAGAACCAATGAGCTAAATCCCCAGCCCCAAGGCTCCACACATTTACAGGTATTTGGTCTACATTTACATCCATGACTTTGAAAACAGCTTTTAAGGGGTGAGAGAGTCTTACAATTTCTACTTCACTTGTTAAGTTCAGCTTGATTCTCTTCCCATCCCATGGGCTACCACAACCATTTGTATTTGTACTTTTTAATTTTTAAAAGAACAACAAAGGTAGGCATTGTAAAAACCATTAACGGACATTAATGGAAATAACTTGGAAATGGGATAAAGTTTATGGTGTAGTTTATGGTATGGTGCTGAAGGTGACTAAGTCTTATAAGATGATGGATTACAGAAAGTGGATGAAGGGTACAGAAACTGTTACTTATGCAACTTGGGTGTACATTTAAAGATTTCAATATAAAAAGGTTTAAAAAATATCCACCACCTGCTTCAAAAGCGCAAGGACCAGAGTTCAATCCCCAGTACTCCAAAATTAAAAAAGTAAATATAAATACATACATAAAATAAAAAAATAAAAGCATGAGGCTAGGTTTTTGAGTTAGATAGGACTTTGTCCATGAGCTGTTTACGACATGTGGAGTGGATTCTGAGAGCTGACCTGAAACTGCAGACTTTGCAGGTCAGTTGTTAGCCATAGCTAGTATTAAAAATGAGCTCTACAAGTCTGAAATTAGTTATATTGAAACAAAGGTAACCATTGCTTAGAACTAATCACTTTCTAGTTGTTTAAGGCAACTGATCCTTGTTATTTGCAGTAGTTATGTTCTCTAAAGCATCTGGATCACCAAGTTAGTGAGCACAACACTGGGAACCTCACTCCCAGGAGTGCAAAGGGGAAGGGTCCTGCAAGCTTTTGCTCACGGTTTTTGGTTATCTAGCTTTGCTAACATGTGTTTCTGTTTAAAGGCATGTTACTTAACATATATTACTGACTCATTAACATTGCTGGCATTTTAACTCATGCCCAAACGAAGTCTAACACACAGATTCTTTCTGTAAGGCACTCTTCTTGAGCACAGGAACACCACACAGCACTTCAGCACTCTTTGTGGGGCCAGTTTTAATGGCAAAACCATCAATAAAAAGTTCCAAAGTGTAGAAAGTGTGTCAGGGCCACAGCATGCAAAAGGACACTTGTTTATGGTAGGAAAACTAAAAGAGATTAGAGCGTTGCCTTGTTTAGCCTCAGCTGGGAACCTGTATGAGGCACAGCTCAACATTTTGAGTCACTCTATGAGTCCATGAATGATCTCAAAGGCAAAGTACTGATTTTAAATTTGCAAATAAGAAGTTTTAACCAGTATGCAAATTTACAAATCTGGAATCCTTGGATAAAGAAAATTTATTAATGCAGATTAAATTCAAAATAGTGTTAATGTCTGGAGATATTACGTTTTGAATAGCACAAAAAGACGAGAAAGTATTCTAGTATTCAAGAATTACCTGATGATGCTCACTCATGACTGATGAACAGGTGGTGCTGACACTTCATTGTGTCAACTTCATCTCATCATAACAACGTTCATATCAGAACCACACTCTCGCCAGTTGCAAGAACGGGTTGGCTATGATGATAATAAAAAAGTACTCTGTGAGAATTTGTTAACGGAAATTTATAATAGTATTGTTTTTCTTAAATTGTGTCCTACATATTTTTAGGAACATTTATAGCTTAAATGTACTTGTTTCCAGAGAGCAGACTGTTTAAACAACGTATCGATACTTTTACCTGAGTTAACTCCATTACTTAACCACCAAGGCTCCATTTAATTAGGTATAAAACAAAGAACATATACCTTCCTCATAAGTCTTGGAGAAATGAATATATTATTGCTCCCCACACTTTGTTTTTAGGTAGGAATGCCACTGACCTGTCTCCTCTCCTTACCACTTCACCCGGAAGACCGGCTCATTGGTTCCTGGGCACATCCACCCCGTCTTCCCCAAGAACGTGCTCCTTAATAGGCAGGCGAAAACCTGCCACTCGGTGGCATGAGCAAGAGGCCTTTGGCCCTTCACACCACATAGCTGACGGGAAACCCTGTGACACATTTTATCCTCACAACCCTCGCCAGGCTAGCAAGAAGATAATTGAAATGTTTAAAATCTGCAGTCACGCTGCTCTGTGCAGAGAATTCTAGTGTGGCGGTCAGTGTTGGCACCCTGAGAAGAAATGTTAACCTTGGAGCCTACTGTGGACAGCAAATCAAACTGAACGCCATCTGTTTTGGAACCGATTCCCCTTTCCCACTTGCCTTGTCTTCTTAGGCACACAGTGTGTTGTGAGCGCTGCTGGCTGCTCAGTACTTTCCATGGTCACGGGCCTTCCCCGACATCTGGTATGTCTCACCTAAAGAGAAGTCAGAAAAGTAGGCTATCCCATTCTTGCCAGGCCTCTTGGTCAGTGGTAATAGATAACATCTACTTGCTTTTCATCAGAAGCAGACATTATTAAACAGGCCTCTTCTGGAACATGATCCTTTAATAAGGTGATTCCTGGGACGGGCGGCATGGGGAGGTCTTCCGGTGTCTTTCCTTCTGTGTATTCTTGAGAGGCAATGCACTTCTTTTGAGGGAAGCTGACAAGACTTCTTTTTTAGCAAAGCCTGCCACCTATTGGTGAGAATGTTCATTCCAGAAAGAGCTCTGCTGCTGAACCAGATGCCTATTTAGCTGTGTACCCGCTGAGCATCTCCTTCATTGTCCTTTTAGGAGCCAAATACTTAGACTAACCAATGGAAAATTCAAATAGCAAAATCGGCTCCACTGATTTTATGCCTGCATGGAATTCATAAATGATGATTCTGTAAGGAAACTGCTGACTTTAAAAGAGCTGGCTTAATTCATTTCTGCCCATGTTCCCACATCATCTGTTAATTTTGATGAACAGTATTACATATCTGGTATGGCTCTGGTCATTTTAATGAAATCTTCAGGCTGTTCCAAAATGGATCAATATTGAACATAAAACATCAGTTTCTTGTAAAGCACACACACACACCTCCTTACCTGAAATACAATAGAATGTTATCTTGTATTCTCCTTTTTTGGTACTGGGGATTGAACTTGGGACCTTGTGCTTTTGAGGCAGGCATCGGCACTACTGAGCTAAATCTCTGGCCCAGATTATCTTGTATTTTTAGAAAAATTTTTTTTAGGTTTTTTGAGACAGGGTCTCACTATGTAGTTGAGACTTACCTGGAACTCACTATGTAGCCCAAACTGGTCTCAAACTCACTGCAATCCTCCTGCCTCAGACTCCCGAGTGCTGGGATTATAGGCATGCACCACCACACCCGGCTGTATTTTTTTTTTTTTTTGTACCAGGGATTGAATTTACGACCTTGAGCTTACAAGGCAGTCACAGCATAAATCTTGCATTCTTAAAAGAGACCAATGACAAATGTTTCAGCCATCGTGGAAATTTCTAAGTGTCTTTGTGTTTGTAAGTCCAACAATCACATTGAAGGCTGTCAAAGGGGTAACAAAATCGTATAAGCAATTTTTGTGACAGATACTGGCTCAGAATGAATTAAAATGACCACAAAATAGTTTTTCTTTTGAGTTTATTTTGAATCTTTCATTTTTGGATAACCAAGCAGCTCTTTAAGGAGAATGCACAGAAGAGTCATTCTGGCACTTTTGGATAGTACAATAAGATTTCTTTAATAGTCACATTCAGTCCCCTTGCTCCATACTCTCATGTTTGGTGAGCAAGATAAGCCCATAAGATTCCAGAGATAATACGCAGTTATATATACAAACAGCCAGAAAAACCATAATAGCGGCTAGTGCCAAAGGGACGAAGAGGGAAGGGCATCGCTAAAGTGTCCTCTAGTCTATCTTAGCTAACAAAACCCACATTACACAATGATAACTAGAGTACACTGCGCTGAACAGAGGATGCTGAGCACGAATGGCACTTGGCAGCATGCAGTTTAAAGAAAAGGGGCATCATTTATAACTTTATATAAAATCCAGGCAGTTCAATTAAAGGGGTTAAGAAAAACCAAAACAATGAAGGACTGTCTGTTTTCACTGTAAAAAAAGGCACTTGGAGTTAATGGGACCAGAATTGAAAGACTCTTATCTGATAAAAATTTCAGTACAATTTCATTTAGAGCCTTGGGTGTTAGGAGATGACACGCAGGAGTTCCTGAAGGGAGACACTGAAATAAAACACTGTGAAGGAGACTAGATTAAAATGAGGGAATAAAATTTTGTACAACCAAATTGTATTTTTTCAAAAAAGAAGAAAACCTAAGCAAAGCAAAACCTAAGCAAAGTAAGTCAAACAAAGCAGCGATGCATAGCTTTTCCTTGAGATAATGCCTACCTTGGGACACTAAGTGCTACCCTAACATCCCAGGAATAACTTCACGGTAGCATTATCGACTTACAATGGATTCAGGCAATGCAAAAAGAACATCTTCTGTTCCCAGAATCTGAAGGAGAACCGAGGCGACCCCTGGGACACAGAACGTCACGTGCAGTTTTCTGGCGTCGCTGGCTGTGACAGACACATCAAGTCCGGGAACGACATCTAGACGTTTCTTCTGGCCCCACCCTGGGTGCATCGTGGGTCAGTCATATTCTATTCCGAGCAACAGCTTCCCTTCCTTTCTGCCATCAATACTGCAGTGTCCACTTCTGCTGCGGTCACTGGTCAACCTCCTCTACAAACAGGTAAGACAGGGCATCCGGCATCTTCTGTTCCAGTGAGTGGTCCTACAGCGCACTGCTCACTTGATGTTAAATGCCATGAGGGGTCTCTCCTCCCGTCTCTGCCAGGGGCTCTTCTTGTCTTCTCCTTGGTCATCATCATCGTCATCCTCTTCCTCTTCCTCATGAGCAGATCTCCTCTGGTGGGGACTGGTTAATGGCTCCGGGGGTGCATCTGACGTTCGTCTGGTGGTCTCCTCCTGCAGGCTGGGCAACTGCCCCCCACTTCTCCGACTTGAGCTTTCCAGTAGGCACCGCAGCGCACTGTCCTCGGGTGTGCACACGGTGGTCCCGCACTCACTGCCGCTCTGGTCTATGTCCTCCAGGTACACCAGCTGCGTGTAGGCGGTGCTGTCCGGGGCTCTGGGCTCTTCCTGCCGGTGCTCCTGGACAGCAGGGTGGCTCTGCTGGAGAGACAAAGGGTCTGCCCTTCCCTTCCGGGCAGATTTTGGTTCATTCATATCCACCCCGGAGTCCAAACTGGCATCGTTACTTCCATTCCTTCCAGCTCTTTGGAGATCAATGTATGAATGTCTGACATGAGCGTTGGACCTTCCATCCAGGGAGACGAACCAGGCCCGGGGGTGTGGAAGTGGCTTCCCACCCCCAAGTTCCATCAGTGCCTTCTCAGTCAGAAGCTGCACCTCACTGTTCATTTGAGCCAAAGCCGCATCATTCAAAGATGCTGGGATGGACAAAGACTCTGACATGGATGTGTTCTGAGGGCTCCACTCCCGAGTGCCTGCATCCTGCAGGTGCTGTTGTGAGATGGCCTGGGAAGACAGAGGCTGGCCTTGCATCGGAGCGGATGGGTGTGGGAAGATCCCCGCATGAGGGTTAGAAAGCTCAGCCTGTAGTCTCCCAATTTCTAGCTGCTGGTCTGCTGGGACAACCAGAGGCTGGCTGACGTAGGAGTGGTCCCCTGGGAGTTTCATGTAATGAGCAGGAATGACCAGGGCTGGGAGCACTTTTCTGTACACACTGTCATTGACCTGGTCCACAGAGCTACAGCAGATCAACTGGCCTGGCCTTGGGAAAGATGTAGGTCTCTCCAGGTGATCGACTGATCTTGACATACATTCAGTGGGTCTGCGGTCCAGCAGCTGCTCTTTTTCTGGAGACGAAGGCGTGGGGTATATGTGTTCCTGAATGGTGAGTTTGCTTCCTGTGGATGCCGGCCCTTCTCTGTCCTGCTTTTCAAATAAAGGCTGAGAGAGCGCAGTGTTGTAACTGCCCCTGTAATCCTCGTTGCCGGGGGACTCGTAGCCTTCTCTTCCCACAGGTTTTCTGGCTTTCAAGGGAAAACTCTCCATGGACTTGTGGTAGTCCTTCCCCAGTGTCCCACTCGGTGTCAGGTTGTCAAAGGAGGTTTGGCTTTTGTTTTCTTCCTTGTGGGACAGCAGCTCCTCTCGGGAGCTGAATTCCTGAGAGGTGCTATAGGAGAGCTTCAGCATGGGCGTGTGCAGGTCCCCCTCTCCGCTGGGGGACATCATTTCTAAATGGACCCCGCTCATCAGCTCCTTTGTTCCCAGGGCCTCTGGGCGTCCATGGCTGGTGACAGACAGTGGGCCAGGGAATTCTGATGCCCGCCGAGAAAACAGCAAGTTGATGTGTGACATGGAAGTGGACTGGTCCCTTCTGGAACTCTCCAGCGCCGTGGGAAGCTGCAGCTTTCTGTGGTGCTGACGGGGTTTCAAGCACTTCCTCCTGAGTCCAGAGACACAATGTAAACCACAGGTTAGAGGTTCTCACAGTGGGAAAGTACTGCAAAGTTTCAGGTAAGGTCATAATTTTCAGTTTCCGCAAGGAAAAACAAACCAAAGCAACTAATCAGTGGCCAGAAGCCTCATTCCATACCCACATCCTTATGGTAACCCAGAGCAACCCAGAGATTTCATTCCCAGGCTCTTAGAAGAACACCAAGTAATTAATTCAAAAGTGGTTGCCCAAGCATAAACATCTTCACTAACTGAACAGACATGGCATCAAAGTAAGAATAATTCTGCTTTGCTCTTGGGAGTATCATTTCCCAACAGCAACAGGAATATTCTGAATAAGTCATCTACTTGGGAATTCTCATATATTCTCTCATATTCACAATTCATTCAAAATACTGTCAAAGACTTTGTAATAGTTACTCTCCTAAGGAATGACATCTACAGCATGCTGTACACATCCTGTTGATTCAGATCACATATTTGAATTCCTGAATTTTTAAGAAAAGAGAACAAAAAGAACCTCAATTTAGAAAAATAAAACAAAAAGACTTCTACATCAATGCTTCCAAATACTAAACTGTACAAGCAAGTCTACATTAAAAAATCTTATCACTTTACCTGCAATAATATAAAAGGAGACACAGCAAAACCAGAAGTATGAAAGCCATTCCTCCTAAAATGGCCAAAAGAAACACCGTGTGATACGTGGTAATGTCCTGTGTTACGATGGGACCTAGAAGGTCAGAAAATGGCATTTTAGATTTTTGAATACCTTTAAATAAAAACAGGGATAATTAGTTGAGAACACAGTATGATCAACAAATATGGTAACTATTTAAATTTTAAAAACTTGCGATAATAAGAGACACATCATCATTAACCCCTCTTCAAATACTCCCTGCCCACTTTGAACACACGTATCTCATCGTTTTTGCCACTTTCTGAAGCCGTTCTGGAGTCCTTTTTCATGAATGTCTTCAGTTGTGCTGCCACTACCACCGTGATGTTCTAAGCTGATCGGGAACGTTTACCTTTTATAGTTATTTTGACCTCGGGGAGTCCCACAGTACTAGATCCTGTGAAGGACACGGATGAGGACTCTCCGTAATGCTTCTGCAGCCCTGCCTTGCCACTGGACGACGCTCGGCAGCAGCATTCACTCTCCTTGGATCACACCTCACAGACACCTGTGAACGAGGGCTCCAGAACTGGTCCAGACAGGGGCAGGAATGGTGGCATGAGTGTGTTCAGAAGGACGAAGAGTGTCTTGGGGGGATTAATAGCACTGTTTCCTTTACTACTTTTAAAAAATTTAAATATTCACTGTATATTCTGATCCCCCCCTCTAATGGCCTTTTCTTATTCTTCTTCGCTGGGTCATAGAGCAGTGGCCAGATGAAAATGTCCTTTGGGCAATCACTTTGTCCTGTGATTAACACTTATGGAGGCTTCCGTGGCCAGCAGCACTTTCAGTACTGAAATGTAGTTGTGTCCAGGGGCCGTCTGGAACTGAGAAGTGAGTCTTGCTGTGTTGCAGGCACAACATTCTAATCACATGCTCTTTTATTAAAATAAAATGAACGCGTAATAATATAAAGAGTGGACTTTCACGGTCAAGAGGTAGTCTGGGTATCTGGTGATTTTATATGGCAGGTAGAAAAGAAAATATAAGACGTTATTCTCACTTTCCAGGGCAATTATTACTGTGTAGACTGTTCTTTGTCTAAATGAATCAAGTTTAAGTATATGGCAAGAACTTATTAAAAAGTCAACAACTAAGTGTCAAATATGATAAAAAAGCTTTCCATTTAAAATAAGTATTTCTCTATAATACAGTTTTTAAAAAGACTAAACTTACATGGCCACACACCTCTTTAAAAATGATACATGAGATAAAAATATTTTCTTTCTAAATTTACATGGTAAAGAATCTTAAGAGGGGTGTCCCATTCCTATGCTTCATGTTCAAGAGTAGTACAGATCTGTCTCAATGTTTCTGGTAACAGACTGACAACAGAGCACCCACTGCAAACTGATTTGGGGCACTTATTCTTGCCCAATATCCTGACAGTGCACCAGTACAGGAGAAGGAACAAACTGGTAGCCTGGTTATGATTACTAAAAACCATCAACCATTGTTTATTTAAAAAAATTTTTTTCTCTACTACTGGGGATTGAATCCAGGGCCTTCACACTGACCTGCAGTCCCAGCTCCCTTTTTAATTTTTTATTTTCAGACAGGGTTTCACTAGGTCACTAAATTGCCCAGGCTGGGCTCAAATTTGTGATTCTCTTGCCTCAGCCTCCCACATTGCTGGGATTACAGTCCTGTGCCACCATAACTGGCTTTGGTGTTTTAAAAGATACATTTCTTTGTAAATCTTTTAAAGGAGGCAAATTTCCTAATTTAAAGGCTGGATAAAGCCATGAAAGTTTACCATTTTTTGAAAAAACAATTTGTGAGCCCCAAAATATCATTCTCTCCCAAAACAAAATTCACTTCAGTGGGGTGGGAGGATGGGGCTAATATTTATAATGTGAGAAAAATAACTAGATAAAGCCTTTTTTTAGGAGCCACAGTGAAACCTTGGTACTCAGGTTTAATCCCCAGCATCACACACACACACACACACACACACACACACACACACACTCACTCACGCAGCAAGCAAGACCTCTTGGGGACATATAAAAATCATCTCCAGATAACTGAAGGTTGGTCTGTTAAGTACTCACAATGTATTTTAAACTCTGTCCATGGATATTACCATAAAATTCATAGCTATACTTTAATCTCATTTTTAAACAGAGAAATTAACTCCAATTATTTTCTCATGGGTTTTGAGATCATGAAAGCATAGCATCACTGTAATTTTGTTTTAATAGTAAAAGCGATGGGGTGAGGTTACCACTATAGGTGTCTGCACAGCAAATACTGTCACAGGCTGTGCTGTGTATGCTTCTTTTTGCTTATTCGTTTGGTACTGGAGAATGAACCCAGGGCTCACACTTTCACACTACATCCTCAGACATTTCACTTTTTATTCGGGGACAAGATCTTTTTAAGTTGCTGAGGCTGGTCTTGAACTTGCGATCCTTCTGCCTCAGCCTCCCATGTTGCTGGGATTACAGGTGTGCTCCACTGTGTGTGGCTGCTCTGTATACTTTTTATAGCTGTGGGTCTCTTCTTTCTCTGTTGGGAAGCTCCTAGGATCTTTTCTCTTTACAAAAGCATGTATTACTTTGTTTTACAATGGAAAAATGACAGCTACAGTTTTTTGAAATATATGTAAAAGTTCACATTAATGTGTGGGCTTTGTGGCCTCTGTTTTGGTATAAAGAATTTCTCCTCCGTTTCTCTTTAGTTTTATGACTTTGATGTTGAAGTTAGAAAAGTGGGACATTTCTGTATATGGTTCATGCTCGTATGGCCATGAGTGCAAATAATCAAGGGAAATACTTGTGAAGTGTGAAGTTTTTCAGTGTGAAAGTGCAGTCCATGTGACCAACTTTTCTCCTTCTTTCTAGGAAGCCTCCCCCATATTAGTTACTCTGGGAGTTTAGGTTTTATTTCCAGTAATCATTCCATGGCTAAATACTGTGAAACTTCCACTTATGAGCTGCCTTCATGTTTTATTTGCAAGACACCTTTTAATATAGCACATTTTGGCCTCACACAGACACCTACTTTATTCACCAGATTTGGCTGTGCATAATTTTTACATGTGTTAAAAAATAAAGATTTGCCAGTAAGGACAAGATCAGTAAGGGAGGTGATCCAGGTGATACAGATTCTAATGACAAGTGCAGCTGGAAACCTTCACTGGAAATAATTCTGAGACACCCATCTTGAAAAATCAATTCTGGAATATTCCCTGGGATAATAACTCAGCTTAAGAAACACTTTGAGTCAGTTTCTGAAAACTCTGAGATAATTCACATAACCTAAATGGAGATTATTCTTCTGGCCACAAAGCAATTACTTTGCATTTAAGTCTTTTGGAAATGCAAGATCAGACTTGTCCCTCAAGGAGCCCCCACTGGTGACTCTCTGGGGGTCTCTGAGGTGTGTTCCACACACACTCGTGTACTCCAGGCCACAGCTGTTTCAGGAGTTATGGAGGAGGTCTCAGTCACCTCTGTAGGCTTCTGATTAAGAATTTCCTATGGAAGTTGGCTGAGCAAAACAGGTCAGGAGACAGGACTATTTCCATGCATTTTTCTCTTTCTAGACTGGAACATTCTAATCAGAATCCCCCCTGTAATACCCCC